TACCTTCGGAAGCTTAATTTAACAGTGGTTATCTCTGGGAGGTAAGATGTTGAGTAATTTTTATTTTAGTTTTTGTTTATCTTTCTTTTCTACAGTTAATACATGTGACTTAGGTAACATGTCAAGCTACAATAAAAATGTTCAAGATAGAAGAGCTTTGTTGCAGACTTGAATAAGTCTCTCTGAGACTCAGTTTCTTCATCTGTAGAATGGTGACGATATGTGTCCTATAGAGCTAATGCTGAGATTGAGGTAGATGATGAATTGTGAAGGCACTTTGACAGTGTAGGTTTAGAATATGTTAAAAATGAGAGGTGTTACAATACAATACAATACAATGCAGAGAGTGATGAGCAAATATGTCTCCAGGAATTCAGAGATTGTCAAGTGGAGCAAACATGTGGGAGTTTGAGTGATTTCGTATCTCATTTAATTCTTGTTAGAGACTTCCATGATATCTGAGTTGAGGATTGTCTCTCTGCTTTGTGCCACGAGTGTGATAGTTGGGAGACAGGTATTGTCATGGTCATATTAGAAGGCTCTGCTCATTTTGTCCAGTGAGTGGTGGGTGCCTTAGATTTCCTCTTTGAACTCTAAGAAGTCTGAGCCTACTTTGGTTATTCTTGACAAGGTTGCTGCCCAGCTCTCTGTTCACACAGCTTCTGGCCTGCTCAGACCTGCACGGTCTGTGAGCTCAGACCGTGGAATGAGCCAAGAAATAGACAGCTTGGATCAGCAGACTGGCCAGGAGCCTGAAGGTGGAGCGTGAGAGTCCACCTGTGCGATGAACACTTCAACAAAGCGAATCTAAATACTTCTGGGTGTTCAGGAACTTGTTTCTCACTTTTTTTCAGTTGTTTGATGTGCTCACCATCTTTGAAGATGACAGAGGACAAAGACCATATTCATACACACACTCCCACCTCAGGGGAGTGCCCTTAGAAAAACTCAGAGCAGTAGTTCTTAGCCGGAGACACTGGAGTGAACAGTGCAGGGGAAACAAAACCTCATCTCCACCCTCTTAGAGTCCTCAGTTGAGCCTCGCCAATGAAATTGATTTAATACAGATTAACAGGAGAAAAGCATTAGAATTTATTTAATGTAAATTTTAAGTAACATAGAAGCCTACATAAGGAAATAAAGACTCAAAAAAGTGGCAAAACCTCAATGTTTTTATACCAGGTTGAATAAAGAGATACAATTGTGGACATGTAACTAAAACACATGGGGAAGCTAAAGTTATTTTGACAAGGACTGTATAGAATTCTTTGAGCTTCACCTTCCTCCCCTCACCATCCTCCTGGTATAAGGAGGACATATTTCACCTGGGAGTCTTGTCTCCTTTTTTCAGGAAGAAAAGAGGATCAGGGATGATCAGAATGCCCTTCTTGCTCCTGCTGTTTTTCAAGTGCCTTTAGCTCAAAATAATCTTTATGCCTAAGTGGCACATTTGGGAGAGGCATATTCTGCTTTCCTTCAGCTGGAATCGAAACCTCCAAGCATCCATCCTCAAGAGTCTGATTCTGGGGTTGGAGTCCATTCATCAGACTCCCTTAAAGGTCCTGGGTGTTGAGAACCCCTAGGTCAGAGTCACAGGAAGTGTGGGAGGTTAGCATTGACTTCCTGTGCCCCATTTAGTAATTAGACCGAAATGGCTGTAATGGCTGAGAACTCATTTGCAACTGCTTGGGAATGTGTGAGCTACTGGGGAGCACGCAGCAGATGCTTCCCCAGGAAACAAATTCACGGTAGAGGGGTGTGTGTTTTGATACTAGTTTGGCAACAAGATCAGAGCCCTAAGGCACCTCAAAGTATTAAGTGGGTGTTTTCTACTTTTTTCTTGCAGCAGGTTCCAAGAACTTGCTTCTCCTAACTGAAATAAGCCATCAGCTGACAGACCTGCAAACATTCAAAGTCGTCTGAATTCGTAGGTGAGCTTGAGGAAGAAAAATAACCCAGCCAGCCTCTTTTGAGGCAGACACACTGGGTGGTAAATATCCAGCCTGAAAGCCAGTCAGTCAGACTAGAGACTTGTTCCAAAGATTTGGCAGACGTGGGTGATTGCCTCAACTGCTCTGGCACTCAGGGGTCTAAAATAATACATTAAGCAACCACTTGTAGCCAGTTCTCCAAAGCTGGACTTTCAGAAACACCTTTTTGACCTACTTGTAATTACAGATTAAGTAGGTAGTGTTTATACAACAGACTGTGCTGATTCTGGCTCCCAGTGATACGTAATTTAAAATAGATCCTCCTGGGAAAGGATTTCAGCAAAAGTGGGAATCCCTTTCTTTACCCCTCCACTTCACAGGGTCCTGGTACAATATCTGTAACCTGCATTCTTTAGTGATGTGAGTACGTGGATTTTGGTGTTTACAATGGGCATTGTCTGTCCTTGACTCGTAGGAGAACAGAGGAAATGAACCTCTTCAGACGCCAGCTTTCTTTTCTGATAAACAGTAAAGGGAACAGCTTTTGAGTTCTTTTAGGGGTGGGATGGAAGGAAGCTCATTCACTGTTGTACCCCCAGGGCTTGGCAGAGTGCCTCCTTCAAAGAAAGCACCAGATAAATCTTAATTAAATAAATGTTTGTATTAACCACCCAGTATTTATTATGCATTTGGCTCCTAGCATTGGTGGCTGGTCTACATCCTGAGAGCTGTTGCTGCATCAGCGTTTTCCTATTTGAACTGAGAACCACTAATTGGATTGTGTTGGTGGCACTGACTTTAAAGACCAACAAGAGACAAGCAGAGGCTGTGTCAGATCTTCTGAACAGGTTATGATTTTAAATCCTGCTCTCCTGAGCGGTTGTGTACCCTTGGTAAATACTAATGACGGATTAGGCTGGAGCTATTTGACAGGCTGCTGGAGTCTGGGACATGGTGAGGGCTTTAACAGCACACTCCTGAGGGCAGCCTGACTCAGAGGCACTGGTTCAGCCAGAGAGCAGGATGGAGGCTTCATCCTGCCGCAGCCCAGTCAGTGTCCGCTCTGGGCAAAGCACCTTTCAGGCACTGTAGAGGACACAGAGGTGACTCAGACACCGATGCTGCAAGGAACATAAAGAGTCTGGGCTCTGCAGGGTTAGAGTGGCTTTGGCTGTTGGCTTTCAACAGTCTGAATCTCAGATTCTTCATCTGTACAGTGGAGATCAAAACAGCAGCTACTCCACAATTTGTGAAAATTAAATCAAACGATGTAAGCAAAACAATTTAGCACAGGGCAGGGGGAGGCAGAGTCAGCATCCAATACATTGTGTGCATTTGTAAGTATCTAATACATTACTTGCTTGTTTATGCAAATGAGAGATAGAGGGCAAGGGAATTCTGTATTACAATTTGGGCCAACGAAGTGTTTTTGTTTTTGAATAACAGTCAGATCTGTGGAGGGTAGAGAAAAAAAGAGGGAGGGTTGGGAGTATAGCGGGAATGAATTAGATACTAGGATGTTGAAAAATAAAGAATTAGAAAAAAAATGCTCAGAGTGTTCACTTTATAAGCCGTTGTATTAAAAAATATATTGGATAGATCTTTTTGGAAGTCAAAATCGTGAACCCATTAAATACAGCCTGGTTATTATCTGGCTAGATGTCTGAGCCATCTTCTTGAATTTTTAGGAAACAGACTACTTTCAGTAAGCATAGTTAAGATACTATGTACATGTTATTTGAGTATATGATTAGCATCAGAAAACCCCATGTTCAAAAATCTCTCTCCTACACATTTTACGAAATTAATTTGATTAAAAATTGCTCTTTTAAAATGCAGTTGCTTCAGTAGTTTTCTTAAGAAAACTTAAGGTCCATGGATAGAAGAACATAGGGGTGGGGGATGATGGTAGCAAAAAACTGAAGAAAGAAATAAAAAACGAATTATGGGAAACCTCTAAGTATATGTAACTCCAGTAATGAAAATGTTCATGTGTTCATGGAAACTGGTGTTCTCTTATCTCTTAAAACACTTTAGGTGGCTTCTCCATTCACTCCAAAATTGCCCTTTTCCTCTTTCTTGCGGCTTGCTGGCATTACCAGCTTAACCACGTCTTTTCTCCCCCTTTCACATACAAATTGGGCAGAAAGGGAACTAAGGGAGCCCCTGTTCTCTCAAACTTCTTGTGCACTCATAATGTGCGAGGCACTGTGCTCAGAAAAATAAAACCTGGCCTTGTCCCTCGAGGTCTATTGGGTGGGGTAAGGGGGGTGGGTGGACAGTTGTAAGTAATTAAAGCATGATAAAGGGCTCTAACTGAAGCCACGGACCAGTGGGGACAGAAAGGAGGAACGGATTTAATCCGCGCGTGTGTTGGAAATGCCTTCACAGGGGAGGCAATTTCTGAAGAATTTCAAGGCCGAGGGTGGAGAGGACAGTAGGAAACCGCAAGGCAACCGCAAGCTTTTGGCAGCTGCGAAGGAGGTCCCGTGACCAAGGAGGGTCAGGGGCAAAGCGGGCAGGGGCCGAGGCCAGAAGGCAACTTGGCTGACTATCTGCCATCTGTAATAAATTGGTTACAAGGCTCAGTGAACTTAACCCGTAAAATCAAATGTCCCTTTCCTTCAGTAATTCCCTACAGGGGTTACACCACCCGGGACCTATGGGCCACGGGACCCGGGAGCCTGGGCGCCGAGGTGGAGGCTGCTGCCCCGGAGCCCAAGCCCCTTCCCAGGCGCCCGGGGTGTGGGGGACGCCGCGGTTCCAGACCCCGGGAGTCGCGGCGAGGTGCTGGTGCTCGCAGCGCCGGTGGTGGGCAGTCAGCCGCGCCCTGGGGTACCGGGAGCCGCAGGACGGGCGTCTTGGAAAAGTCCGCGGAGGGGATGCGACTGGGCCCGCAGGTGCCGTTCCCGACAGGCTTCTTTCCGGGAGGTTTTCAAACCCTCGGCAACAACCTCCCCTCCGTCGCCCCCGTTGGGCCCCAGCAACAGGCGGTGGCCCGTGTATCATTGGCCGGGCTGCGTGTCGGCGTGTTTTGATTGGCCGCTGCGCCTCCCGGCCCCGCTCCTGCGCTCGCTGCCGCCTCCATTTTGTCGGTAGAGGCAGGAGGAGGAGGTGGGTCCGGAACGGAGGTGGTCAGCAGCTGGTTCATCGGTGCTCGCGGGCCTTGTTCGTGGCGTGCCTCGTCTCTCCCTGGAAAGGGAGGGGGGCCTCGACGCAGAGCCGGAGCCGCCGCCGCTGTAGTCTCGAGCTCGAAGTCGGTGAGTGGCGGCGCCGCCGCGGGCGCGGCCATGTTGGCGGCCGCGCTTCCCATTGTTGGGGGAAGGAGGCGAGATCGGGAACCGGGGTGGGGCGCGCCGGGCTGCGGGCCGGGCTCGAGAAGGATGGCGCTAGTCGGAGGCCAGGCCTCGTGAGAAGAGCTGAACTTCCCGGACTCGCGTTGTGAATGACTCAAGGTCCAGGAACTCGTAATTTATTTAGGACTGTTAAAGTAGTGTGGAAGGCTCTCTCAGATTTCTTTCGAAAAGAACAGGGTTTACTATGTTTGTTTACTTGGAGTAACAATGAAGTCTTGAAAGTTTAATGCTCGCTGTAGGGAGGCGTTTTTATATATTTAAGATGGGAAATTGGCTTAGGCTTTGAAATTAGGAAATTGTTAGGCTTTGAAAACTTTAAAATGGGGAGGAGTCGAGAGTTCATTAGTAAAGGAGGTACTCTGCATGACGTAGACATGTTAGGAGAGGCGGCTTTGAAAACCGATACGGAATGTGCCAAAAGACTGGAAAATACTCGTGGGACTTTAAAACATGGCCTCTTTAGAAAACTAATTTTAAACCACTTTTTTGACATGGCTGTAAAAGTTAGTGCTTCCCTAGTTTGACATTTTGGTCACATAATCCGTGAGACTCTGAAGGATCCCAAGAAAAATAATTGTTGCGGGACTTGCAAGACCCCTGTCATCAAATCCCCTAGTTCTTGGATCAAGGCTAATAAGAGTTCTTAGAGGATGACAGTTACAAGGTCAAAGAAAGCCATCTTCAGAGACATATCTTCGGCCTTCTAGTTCAGAGGTAGCCATTCTTAAGCTTTTTCTGTAGTAAATATAAACGATGACTTCCGTGTTTTTGAATTAAAATAATGAAGTAATCTACTTTCTAGCTGGACTTCTCTCAAACTTGTGTGCTGAGGAGACTCAGATGTTGGCCTCAGCTCCTAGGCTGAACTCAGCAGATCGGCCCATGAAAACTTCTGTATTGAGACAAAGGAAAGGATCCGTCAGAAAGCAACATCTATTATCCTGGGCTTGGCAGCAAGGAAGAGGACAGGTACTGGAAATCCTGCGATCTGCAAAGCAGACTGAAAGGTATAAAAAAGTGCATGTTGTAATACAGGGGCAAACATTTTATGGACTTATCTTAAACCAGTTATTATTTTTAAATAGATGGTTATTCAGATTTGTGGGTAATTTTTCTTAGGAACACAATAAAAGCTGTGTATATATTGAAGTGAGAACATACAATGAAGTTAAAAGCAGCCGGATAGTATATTTTTGAGTCTTACCGAGATTTCTGGAGTTACAAATTGGACTTAACAGAAGCTTAACATTTTGAACTTACTGAGATTCACAGTGCTTTCTTTCCGTTCACTTACAGGTGACAAAGCTGAAGATGGGTGGTGGAGAGAGGTATAACATTCCAGCCCCTCAATCTAGAAATATTAGTAAGAACCAACAACAGCTTAGTAGACCGAAGACCAAGGACCAGAATTCCCAGATGAAGATTGTTCATAAGAAAAAAGAAAGGGGACATACGTATAACTCTTCAGCAGCTGCATGGCAGGCCATGCAAAATGGGGGGAAGAACAAAAATTTTCCAAATAATCAAAATTGGAGCTCTAGCTTATCAAGTCCTAGCTTACTTTTTAAGTCTCAAACTAACCAGAACTATGCTGGAGCCAAATTTAGTGAGCCACCGTCGCCAAGTGTTCTTCCTAAGCCACCAAGCCACTGGGTTCCTGTTTCCTTTAATCCTTCTGATAAGGAAATAATGACATTTCAACTTAAAACCTTACTTAAAGTACAGGTATAAAATAAAGTGCTAATTGTTTAAATTTAGTTCTATTTAAGGCAGGTGTCAGTTTCAGACCAAATTCACAATGGAATTAATCTGTGTAAAACTAAAATAATATAGAAAATATAAACTTGTTTCATGTGTGTGTACTATGATGTAATATTAGTATCAGTGCAACTTAAGTAAATTACTGATAATTGTACTTGGTATTAAGTGTTCTCAGTTGAAGGACTCTGAATGGTAAAGGAGTCAACTTCTGTTGCTTGTGGGAAAATACTAATTCAAGATTGTCATTCATGGATCAGTAGACTTGTTGAAAGCTAGTGAATCTGATCCTAAGCATCCAGTTAAGACATACAGGGATTGAAAACTAGTTGCATATTTGAAAGTTTATGCTACCAACCTATAATATGCTACCAACCTGATGCACTGCCAAAAAATGTGAATTTTTCTTAATAGTTGCATTTTAGTAAACTTAGTAGGGTGGTGAATGTGGATAGGGCACTGGGGGCTTTTTGGAATGAGAAAGTATACCCCAGCAACCCTATTTCTTACATGGAGTGTATAGATCTATGCCAGCAAATGCACCAAAACCATTTTCTATAGAAACAGTATTTGGTGGTCACAGAATAGCTTTCAAAATACATTTTTGTATTAAAAGCACTGCATAAGCTATTCTGACAGTGATCTGGCCTCAGATGATCCCTGCAAAGCTCGCTTAAAGTGGGGAGCTGTATAATGTGAAAGATCAAAGTACTTAGGAAACAAAGAGCCATGTAAATATATGTAATAAACTTGTAGCATATGTAAAGTTTTGTTGGCATTTATCCTATAAAAATAGAATTATTTTAGTATGAATTTGCTGAATGTAAGACATGGACTCTTTTATACTATGGCCTAATTTTTGAAGGTCCAAAATAATGTTTTTAAAGTTTGTCCTTGTGCTCAAGGCTCAGTGTATGTATGTATGTAATCTGGTCGTAAAAGTATATTTCAAAGTAAATCCTAGTGTAATAGGTTTTATGTAATTGAAAAGGTTTTAAGCTGCTAAAAACACTTCCTATTTTTAAGAGATGTGAAATGCAGTATGGGACTACTTTTTCTTTAAGCCCAAAGATTTAACTATAAAAGGGTCCCTCAAACCTTAGAAGACTCATTTTTTGAACAGTTTTGGCACCCTATATAACAGAGTGTAGTTTATGTATGATGCCAGCTAGTTTTCTTTTTGGTCACCAGTAAAGTACAACCTAGGGGATCACTTATGCAAAAGATGCAATTTCCTGCATAATACCTTGATAACATGTTTTGCCTACCTTAAAGATAAATGCTGCAACTAACCCAATAGTAAGTAAGTGTGTTTGTGGGGGCGTCAGTTTAAAATTTGATTGTAAGAGCCCTATTTTCTAATTTAGCAGTTTTCATTATTCCTAAGTAAAATGGCTAAGTTGTATTTGTCCAAATTCAACTATTGCCCAAGTTAAATGATGTCCTAAAGACGTTTATATGGTACTGAATATGACATGAATTTGAAGCATGAAATTAAACTGTTTTCTCCCCAGTGGCTTGTTTTTATTTTATAGAAGATTGTTGTGACTGCCTAATTTTTTCTTAAAATGCATTTAATTAACCCCACTGAAATACGATAGGACTTTTGGTTTTAAGAGGCAACCAATTTACTGATTGATGAAGACATTTGGTTAGTTCAGCTATATGACTGAAGCAACTACTTGTGACCCCCTTATTTACCACTTTTGAGTAAAGCAGATGTAATTATTCTCTCCCCTTTTTCTCTACATTTTAAGGTGATTTCGGTTTACAAGAAAAATTACCAAATTCTGTAAAAAGGAACACTAAAAACTTTTTAAGTTACACACTAGTAGGGCAAGGCTTGTATTATCTTCTCATGCAAACTAGGAAAAATTTAGAGGAAGTCAATGTCTGATATTTATATTCCCAGTGTAATTTCTGTGAAATGATGTTAGGGGTTGCCAAATTCTTTACTGGAATTTTACTAGATTGAACAAGTTCTCAGCCCAGGCATCTGTTTTTGATCTGTGCATTTAAATACAGCATATATTAGGTTTTTGGCTTGGGAACTGACCTAAGTGCTCAGAGAATTGGCAGTGGTAATACAAAAGGCTTTTAACTATAAACAATTTTAATAGCCAAGGGTAACATGTAGGTTAATGGTTGTAGCAACAGCTCACCTTAGAAGGTACAAATAAAGCTGTGGTTGGTCTATAGGGACATTCTCTCTCAAATCATATTGGGAGAACGCAGGTTGCTACAGAGAACCACTCAATCTATGCAGTAGGGCTGACGTTGGCCATAATGTGAGCCTTAAAAGTTGATTAAATTTGTCCTTTTTGATAGTGTATAAAATGGAATGAGTCCATAACCTATCCTTGCACTTAAATTCTAGTGTTCTCTGATTCCCAAAAGCAAGCACAAGGTGGAAAAAAACCGAAGGCTTTTGGGTAAGTTTTCTGTTTCTTTAATTGCATTCTCACAGGCAGTTTGTAAAACAAGCACATCTCTAAAACCTTACACATGAGAAGAGCCTACCCAATCAGAAATCTTAAGGCAGAGCTGAATTACTGAAACAAAACGAAAATACCAGAGACGTTTATTTCACTGTCTAGCATTCAAAGGTGTCATCTACAAAAAAAGACAAAAGGCCTTTTATTTCTTTACAAACTACTCTGTCAATTATCAATAAAACATGTACATGCCTTGCTTTTTATTCCAAATAATAATCCCAACTTTAATTACAGGGATGAAACAACTGCTAGGAATACACACAAACCCAGCATAATAAACATAAGCAACACCCTTGGAGGACAGGGCCAAGGCAACTTTTCCTCAGCAACTAGCTTTGCTTTATAGATTTCAATAGTTCAAGACAAATAGGTTGCATACATCATGTATCAATGAGAACAGTTTACTCCTGGGATTTTTTGATAGACCTGTTAGTAGACCACTACTGGATTACTCTGGGCTACCACTACGCTGTCTCAAGTCACAGCCTCACCATTTAAAAATATCTCAGGATTTTTGTAAACGAGAATATGGCCAGAATACAACACAGGTTGAAAACTGGGAAAGCCAAGCTGGAAAGAGTCTGAGTCACAACAGCTGTGTGAGAACTTGGATTAGTAACAAAAGGTTTTTGTAATTGAATCTATTTTTACAAATTGATTTACTCTTCCCTCTAAGTGAACTCTAGATAGCGTCAAAAACTCCCCTATTAAAAAAAAAGCAACCAGTAATATAGATGAACCAAATGAAGAACCATGGACTCTAGGATCTGCCACTTACTGTGTGATCTTGGAAAAATTTGAAAAAAATGAAAACAGGCAAGAATATCTGTTCTATATATCCCTTAGTTATGTTATGTTCTATATTTCAAATCTTTATAAAGGCTTAAACACTTCTGTATTTTTAAATGAGTATGCTTAAATTAGAAGTTTTATATATAAGGCAGAAATAAGACAAAAATATGTGATGGAATCAATGTACAGGTAAACGCTTTATAACCTGATGAACTAAGGAATCCAAAACATTTTGTGATACTATAAAAGTTATTTATTCACTATACACAGAACATGTCCCCTATAAAATGTACATGTAAATCACTAAAAAGTATAACTTGGTGAACATTTTCTCAATTACAGAACATACTAAATCAGTTGGGATAACAAGCTGTCTGCCTCAAAAGAATCTAATTATAGCACCCAGAGTCTCCTTTATATCTAACACAAAGTTAAATGCTTATTTTGGGGATTACTTCCTAGTATGTGTTTGAGGAGGCAGAATTAACAATTTAATATAACTAGTATATTACAGCCACTGCACAATAAATCATTTATTACAGATTTAAACAAGTCATTTTTTCATTGTACTGAGATGCAAACAAATACTGGATACGTTTAAATGGCAGATAACCACAAAATTATCTTTGATATGGTGTATTGGGCTTTATAATCACATTATATGAACGGTGTAAAATAGTTACGAATAATACACCTCTAACAAAACGAGGCCATACTGTAATGATTCACTAGATTGTGCTCAGTAGACATTAATTAAGTGAATTTTATCTAATTTTCTCCCCAATTTACCCAGTCCAATTTTGCCCATAGTTAAGGGCTTAGTAAATGTTTGCTACTGACCAGGAAAGAGGTGAGAAGAGATGGACCCTCTTACTGGATGTCAAGTATTATAATTGGAATTTACCTGGGAAAGTGTTAAGGAAGATGTAAACTGCACAAGGCATACAATAAACTCAGATGCCAACAAAGCAAACCATTAAGCAGAAAACACTGGCACTGTAATAAACAAAGGGAAGATTTGCCAATAGCAAAATGGAACCAACTTTTAAGAGATATCAAGAAAAAGTTTATACTGGACCATACCTTTTCTCACCCAATTCAGTTTGAGACAGACCAATAGAGGCACTGTAAGACTATGGCTGTCTTCCTTGATATTCAGACATCCTAGTTTCCAATGATTTATTATGGACCTGTTACCCATGAATCAATATAAATCTATTCAGATTTAGGGATTAGTTTCCACAAGTACAAAGTTGAATTTCCTTTTATTTGTCCTAAAATGCTTACTTTCAAACTTGAAGGGACTTCAATTATTCCATGTAGTTTCGATAACATTCTTTTATCTTTTCAGACCAGAGTCAAAATATTCGTACAGTATTCATACTGCAGCACCTTCCACCCACCCTTTGGTCGCTTGAACTGCCCTTCTTTGGTTCTTTTTCCGCTTTCTCAGATCTTTCTTGAAGTGTAGTAAGCAGAACTGTACTGGGTATTCCAGCTGCAGTTTGGTCTTAAATAAAAGAAGGATGTTTGTCAGTTTGGTTTTCTTTATTCTTCTCTGTGGTATACAGGATTTTGTTAGTTGAACTGGATGCAGCTTACTGGGCCAAATTTTCAAGAGAATAGTACAATAGTTCCCAGGTCTTTTCCCTGGGTTGTAACTTAACAGCTCATATTCTATGTAGAACCTTCCCTTTCTCACTGAAGCATTATCTGTCATTTTTCTTCTTGCTTACTTGGCTTCAAAAAAAAAAAAAAATGCAGAGAGATCTTAATTAACAGTTAGAGGTGAAGTGTCAGCCCTTGAATCTTGATATGATCTACCTGAATATTGAGCACAGTGCCAGACACACAGTAGGTAGGTACTCAATTGTGGAACTCAACGATGTACCCAAAATTAAAGCACTATGTAAGGATCCTCATCAAGTATCAGCAGGATCCTAACTATCATGGGTTCAATTATAATATAGTTAGATCTTTTGAAGCTCTGTTAGGCATGTCACTTTACAAATAACATGTAAGGTTCTCAAGAAAATAGTCTGAATCTAGAAATAAGTGACACAAGTAAACAATGAAAAACATCAGGTCTTCTAATCCTACAGAGACTGAGAACAATTTTGATGGGCTATCTCAATCTATTCCTCTCAAACTATAGCCCATAAAAAAGAAATCATCTATGGACCAAGCCCAGGCTCATATAGTGGATGGGCCTTTCACAGCTTTTTCTTTGTGCCTCAATTTCTTTATCTGTCATGTGGGGATAATAAATCTTTCTCACAAGGTTTTATGAAGAGCGAGTTAACGAAATGCTTTTAGAACAGGGTCTGGCACATCATAAACAGTAAGTATTGGCTATAATTGTTATTATTAAGTACCTAGGATCCTAACCACAGAACACCTAAACCAGTTTCCTAAAGTGGTTATCACTTAACTGCTCACCAACATTCAATGCAAAAATATTTAAAATCATGCCATAAACTAAGACCCAAAGGATCTAGTTTAGGACAGGGAAGAGCAGAATTACTCATCCATCCAATAATGAAAATATAAATTTACAATTAACTGACTCAAATTTCATTTCAATACGTATCTTAACACTGCCAATATCTTCTACGTTATTTAACCCAAGTGGCTTCATAAGCAATCATGAAACAACTTTGACTTTACATAAGGAATTTTAAAGTACTATGTAAATAGTTATACTTTTCTGTCAAGTTCTACCACTTCCAAAGTAAGAGTTAGTTGTGCCTAGTGCAACACTGATTAAAAATATACCTACATCTACAAAGGACTATTCCCATTGTTATTTTAGAATCTCATTCAAAACTATAATAATTCCAGTTAATCATTATTTCCTTCATTTTGTTTTTATTATAGCATGTTTGCTTAATTTACAGCAAGCAGAAAATAAGCTGGGTCTTGTTTTGATCCAAACATTGATGTTTTAAAGGTTGTACACAATATTTGTTAAAAAGAACATATAAAAATACCTTTTTAGAAGCTTCTATAAGAAAGGAAATACAAAGTTTAACCCCACAACTTTCCTCTTTACTAGAACTGCAAACTACTGCTACAGTTTTAAATAGACTTTTTGTTTAAACTATACATCCAGGAAAATCTAAAAAATTAAAGAAACGTGCATATAAATGATTGCATAGCAGAACATGAACATTAACTGCAAACAGTAAAGAAATGAAAGTTAGAAATACTATTAAATATACAAAGGTTCTAGAATCAATCCTTAAACACATTCCACAAACAGTATTTAAAAACCATCTTTTGTTCTTTACAGGAAAGGCCTAGATTACTAAAACCAAAACTGAAAGTAATCCTCTAAAAGGAATTGTTTCTCTACAATGTTTCTTACTTATTTATACCTGTAAGCAAGCAATCTTAAATTTTCTTAAAGATGCTAGCTTTTAGTCTGAAATGAGACTGGACATGTCAAGTCACCTTCATCATCTCCCAAAAGCTCTCTCAGAAAAAGGCTATAAGTTATAAATGGTTAGGGTTTTGTTCTCTCATTTTTAGTCAGGTACTGCCAGGTACTAGTGATAACCAAAAACTCAAGAGATCTGACTCTCACTCAAAATCAATTTTTTCCAAAATTATTTTAAATTTCATGGCACCACAGAATCACCTAGAATGGGAGTGTTATCTTTCAACTTGCCTCAGATTAAATAAACTGAAGTGTGAAGAACAAGCCTCCTTCATAAGAGGTAGGCAAATTTTGATGCAAATGCACATCAGAAGTGTTATTAGCATCAAAATTCAGTTCTTTTACACTGTGCACAAACAAAACCTACTTTGAAACAATTGACTTGCTTTTAACAGCGGTAAGAAAACTATGCACTATTATGGTTAACAGTACTCCTTAAAGTTTAAAAATAACTACATAAGAGCATTCTTTTCTCCTCAAAATTATTTCTTGATGTCTGTATGTTCCAAATCTTCAAAGAAACCAGAAAAAAGCAGTGAAGGCTCCATGTTTCATGAGAAACTCAATCTCCCTGAAAATGCTACTTTCTTAACCCAGCTGGCATCATTCCCAGCAACAATGGGGTTAACAAAAGAACTATATCACACCGTGTCATAAATTAACTATTATCATGGGCCTAGACATCTTAACAAGACAAAAAGGTCCACCCTGACCCTATATGTGTCTGATCAGTGTTGTACTGTGGCTGCAACTTCACTTTTGTATCATTCTATCTTAGCAAGCTACATTTCTAGGTTAACAAGTTCTACCAAATATGGATATGAAAGTTTATTTTAATAAGACAATGTTGCAAATTATGGTCAACCAACATCTTTTCACCAATACTTCAAGCATAAAAAAATGAGAATCTTTACAAAAATATACAGAGACACTACAAATTGGTAGCTGCCCATAACATTAAACAAACTGGACTCTTAAGAGTGGCTTCTCAACAGCATATCATTTTAATTATAACCATTGCCCGGTACAGGGAAAACTGACAAGTGTTTTTTTAAGCATCATTGCAACATTGTATTCCTGATAATTTAAGTAAAACAAACTATGAGTAAATGAATGATACATGCCTAAAAATATCATGGTTTATACTATCAGTGGCCACTGGACTTAGGACTAGTCCAAGACCTTGATCTAGATTTTGACCTAGACCTAGACTGTGATCTTGACTGAGATTTGGATCTAGGTGGTTCTTTTTTCCTTGATTCCTTTTCATATCTTGAGCCAGACTTATAATGTGTTTTGGAATCTGTTTTAGAGGTGCCTCTAGTTTTGGTGTGAGAAGCAGACCTAGAACGTGATTTAGCCTTCATTTCTTTCTTGGGCTGGGACTTGGACCGTGATCTTGAATTGGATTTAGATCTTGAAAAAGATCGATTTCGGTGTTTGAATCTTTCAAAACAGAGGAGAGATACAATTAGAGTAAAAATTAGATTCTATATTAATCAAATTTGTTATTTTTAGAGCAAAAGTTCACTCTGAAATTGAAAAAATGTATAAGTCTTTTGCAAAGCAAAGTTATTTACCTATCATTGTCGGAATGGCTTCTGCTACGCCGCGGTCTTCCAGTCGGTCTACTGCTAAAAAGTACATCAAAAAAAGCAAACAGTGACAAATGTCTATTTACAGTCTTTTAAAGTTTCAATTAAAAGAACTGAACCATAAAACTTTTTAAACGATGCACTGAAATACTTCTAGTCTCAATGAAGTATACACTGTATACAATTAAAAGTATACAAGAAGGTAAAAAAAAAATTCAATGCTAACAAACATAAATCTTTTCTGGCAGATCACTGTGCTACATATTGCACTTACTTTCTAGGACTGTAAGATCTTCTGTAGTTGTAATCAAAGGACCGGCTTCTTGATCTTCTTCTTTCATAACTTCGGCTTCTAGAACGTCTGTATCTGTCATAATCATCATAGCGTGAAGAACTGTACACATTCCTCCCTTCTTTGGCTTTCATTTGATTTGGAGCTATTAAATACACAATATAGAAATATTTAGAAACATTAAAACTTATTAATTCAGTCCTCAAATTACAGAAAATTTCCTGCATCCCCTTTCCTTACATCCCCAATCTTTGTCAAGGTTAATTATGAATTTTAATCTTGAAAAATTATTTATTTTTAAGGAAGTCTACTAGAAGTGTTTTGTATTAACAATGATACTTTAATCTTTCCAACTATTTCTTCCCCCAAAGACCTCTCACCATCTACCTTGTGTCCAAAAACATGCCAAGTACATAATAAACATTAGGAAAATATACCCTAAAAGCATTTTTTAAGATTCCAAATGAGCTATGACTTCTGAACTACATGCTAATTTGGATTTTCCCACCAGTTTCCATTAGAAACAGCAATAAAATACCTATTGGTGGCCTATGAACAATGTGTAGTGTTAAAATGCAGTAATACATAGTTCTGAGAGACTATTAAGACAAGCAGAAGTGAGCTAACACTGAATGCCTTAGACACACCCACACCCCTAAAAATTACTAAAGTGTTATTCAGTTCTACAATGCAAATATTCTGCATACATGTGTATAAACATAGTGAATATCCAGGAACCCATTACCCAACTAAAAACCAACAGCTGGTGTCTACCTAAGAGCTACCCCTCTTTTCAGCAGCTATTTCTCAATCTGCCTCAAGTAACATGGCTGAGCCAGAATCCAAACTCAGGCCCAGTGACTCCACAGACTGTATTCCTGCTTCATTGTAATACCTGTGTAACAAAAACTGAGTACTAATACAAAAAAATCTATACTAAGTTCGATCTTTATAGCCTTCCCCAGTCTATCCATTTCCATTGCTTTGCACCCATATAATTGGCCAATAACATCCTGAAGATCTTTATGAGACAGAAATGGCTCAAGAGACCCGAAACTTTCCAAATTTTATCCCTTCCAATTAAACATACCACAACTTAAGAGTACTGATCTAGCTTCTGAAGAGTCCAAACATATTTCAGGCATTCTGAGCTGCATATCCTACCTTATGTCTACCCTGGAACTTTGCAAAGTATTCAAGATACTCTATCTTCTCAAAACCTTTTTGGGTTTTTAACAGATAGACAAATTAAACAAATATTTACAAGAAGAAAACATAAAACACTGTCTAAAAATGATGTATTATACTTATATTAGGCATAAGGGTACTTACTCTTCCGATCCCCCTGTGCAAACTGTATTTCAATTTGGCGTCCACAGATCCATTTTCTGTCCAAATTATGTAAAGCATCTTCGGCATCACGAACATCCTCAAATGTGCTAAATGTTAAGGGGCTTGGGAAGTTTTGCAAACTTTGATAATGGAAGTTCAGTTGCTAAGTCTGGAACAATTCACAATCTCTTGATATTATTCTAGAAAAGCAGCCAGCCTCACTTACTAGTTGGCTGATTAAGCTATGAACACTTCACAGCATTAAATCACTTGTGACTTCTTACTGCACACATCTGAAAACACATGTGACTACACATTGTAAAGTCACTGAAATAGGATGTTATAGCTAAACTACCAAGTAATCCTATCAAAAAATTAGTTTCCTGAGTTTTAAGAATTTTACAAAGACAAAAAAAGTCAGTTATGTTGTATGCTGAAACAAAAATTTCTTAAAATAAAACCAAAACTGTTGTTTCAAAGGAAATTCATATTTTTATTTCAAAGGAAAAAAAGTGCCAATAGTTCTTGTGTAAGCAAGCAGAATATACCTTACCTTCCAAGAGTGAATTCATTAACCTCAAATTTATTGCTTTCTCAGACATACCTAACACTAGAAAGATAATTATTTATTGTAGCTGTCTTTCTGATACTGTAAGCTAGCCAATTGTGGAGAGCAAGACAAAATCAAGCAATACTTAAGACATCACTATACCAAAAGCACATTATACTTAGGCAGACCGTAAAAGCATGCTGTCAAGAAAAAAAAAAAAAGAACATTTCTAAAGTTGCTGGACTAGAGAGCCCTTTCCAATATACTAAACATACAGTTTCCTGTAAGGAAGTGGGCTTGGAGCTGGTTTTCAACTGGAGAATGTCAAGGTAATATTTATAAGCTTGAAAAAGGAACTGCTGGTATCATCTTTGATCCTCCCCCACTTATGTCAGCAACCATGAGAACTCTTGGCTTTTATGATGTTGTTATGTCCAAATTTAGCTCCTTTCCTAAACCACCATTCTAACGCAAACGAAGCACACACTCAGAGCAGTGCTTGATATAAAAGCTTTGGAAAGGGAGCTAAGTTAGGTTTGGGTACGGATTTTCATTCTATTCTAAAAATCACTAACTTGTCCATTTCTATTTCCTAAATTTGAGAATACAGATCTTGAGAGCTGCTTAACACACACCTCTTCTTCAGTGACATACTGCCTACTACTACCTTTTAAGACTGATAGGAATATTCTTTTATTCCAGAGACTAAATGTCTCCCTCATTAGATTTCCTGTTTTTTGTTCTGAAAGGAATTAATGGACCACAGCAGGTTCCCAGCCCTCTCTTTCTCGTGCTACTACGGATAGGTTAATGAAGGAGAGCTTCCCAAGCCCTAAATCATGAGGCTTTCAACATGAAAAGGCAAAGGTTGATGGGGAGTTTAGAACCTTGAATACTGTAACTGAACACCCCTCACGGTTAATGCAGTTACACTCAAAAATAAAAGAACATTCACTTAATGCACACACTACTTTGTGACTTGAAGAGATAATGTAACAACTTTTAAAAGGATTTATTTAGATCAAGAATTATAAAATTAATGAGAGCAAATCCTATGAGACTAAGGTCAAAAACAGAATTCTGAGCTAGATGAATCACGGCAAGGTTCTACTTTACTGTTAAGAAAGAGAAGGCTAATTGGGAACAGGACCAGGCAGAAGAGAGTGCCACAGCAGGGGCAGCCAAATATCACTCTGATGCCAATTACGGAGAAATCTGTACTCAGGGTCTCTGCAATATCCTGACACCTATTTCTTTTTAACTATTTTAAGACCACACACAAAAAACTGTCTATAAAAAATATGTAATTTTCTTTTAGCTTCTGAGATGTAACTCTTCTGTCTCAAGTATCACATACTGGAGTCAAACAACTGCTGATCCTGGTTGTTAGACCACCCAAACCGGGTAAAATCATATTAACATTTTAAGTAGACTTTATCACTACCATTTTTTAAAAAACCAAGCCAAATACAGCTTTTATCCTCTCTGTAACGGAGCTTTGCAACCAATTCCAACTGTCCTTGATCACTGGCTCTACAGTAGAAGCTTTCAGCATTTCCCCATAGGACTCTGCTAAATTTCAAGAGATCCAGTGAATTTAAGCAGCAACAATTTTTCCTGGCATTAGGTTCACAGCCCAAACCTTTGTTGTTGCAGGGAGGTGATGGATCTCATTAGAGGAAGAAGTAATGTCACCTGAAACTCTGGGTCAGGGAACGATTTCCCACAGATCCTGATTAGGTATCCATACCAGGAATGAGGCCTTCTGAAATCCATTCAAGGCCACTGATCATACGTGCTAAAACAGTGCAGGAACAGCAGGCTTCGCGGAGCTAAGCTTCAGAAGTTAGGAGTATGTGTGCCCCCAGCGGCTACTTTAAAATCTATGAACAGGTAGTAAGTATCTAGTGAATCTGAGCTTACAAGACCACCAGAGCTTTTTCTAAATAGTCCCCAGTGCATGCACCTGTCTCTCCTTTAGGCATGGCTCTGTAGAGGTGGCTTGACCCCAGAACCTCATGCTAATCCAAAGAGCACTGCCCGCTACCCTAAGGCACCTGACCACCTGGCACCCGGTCCAAAACAAAAACTATTCTGAGTTTAAACTTAACATTACATCCCAGTACACTTTAACTTGACAAGCTAAGAGTGCATTTATACAAGACCACAATCACATCAAAGGCCCACATAAACCAAGTTATAGGTTTTGTCACTAGACCAAACCAGAGTAATTTTGAAAATTAACTGCTTACAGAACATTAAAAAAAAAAAAAGAGGAAAATAGATATTCTGTAGGATACATCAGGTATGACTCCTTTAATCTTGGCCATCATTCAACTTCATCTTGACCTTTAATGCTTTAAGTGCTTGTCAGAAGGACTTGTCATGAGATGCTTGGCCAAATATGACAGATGGCTTTATCTTTAACTTTGAAAAACAACCTTTTCCCCCTTTTGTAGATAAAAGCGAGGCTTTGTCTCCCATTAGGCTTGTCCTTCTTCCAGCTTTGCTTTATTTTTTCTTTTCCCAAACTCTCCCTTTTCTCTTCAAGCCTGATCCTTAAGAGGTCTTTGGCTTGTCTACTTGCCTTAAGTGTTGAACTCTACTCTAAAGGTTCTTTCATGCTTTCTCTTTGGGGTCGCCATAACTGTACAGCTTTACATTCTCTGAGGTAACAACAGAGGACAGCAAATTAGGGGACAATATTAAAGAAGTTTACCTCATTGTTATACAATTTGTTTTTGAGCGATTCAGTTAACAAACAAGAATACCAAACTTTAATTGCTAAGCACAAGAACATATTAACTTTCTGACTTACATTAAAGGTGGAAGCAACCAGAATATATTCAAATTTCAATCACATTATTATAATCATTGATTTGAGATTCGGCAGCATGAATGGGAATTTAAATATTTTTTTTTTTTTTACCATTTTTGGATTAACTTTAAGAAATAGTAAGAATAATGTGTGAGAATTTCCAAAAATTTGAAGATGTAAAACATTTATTAGAAGACAAAAATAAACTACTTTTTAGATGTTACCTCTTACATAAACTTGAATTTCAAACTTCAACACCCCTCACTAATCAGCCATCTGAAGAAAGGATATTGAACATAAGCAAATCCTCTTGGACGGCGAGTGTAGAAATCAAGTGGAACATACACATCAACTATAGGACCATAACGACCAAATTCACGTCGTAAATCTTCAGACCTAAAACATCATAAAAAGACCCGCAATCTTTATGTCCACTCTTTTAAAAGGGTTCCTTTATAAGAAATAGCTATCTTTCATGTAACATCTCAATTAAGGAAAGGGACTGTGCTGTGTTCCCGAGGTGACCTGAAACACCTAAGATTCCTAAGTCTCAAGAACCAACTTTAAGAACACACAAAAACCTACAGGCACTGTATCTTTTTGAAAAAGGAACCCTAGGATCCAATATTTTATATATCAGGCAGTTTATAGTAAAATCTATTCGTAATTTACATCAACAACAGGAAAACATACACGTTAAACCGATCACAATTTATCTTTATAAAAATTTTTATCCACATTCTTCATTTTTTAATAACAGCCATCAGGTTGTAAAAGTATTGCTGTGGGCCTTCTACAGTATCAAATCAACTTTAGTACTCTGCAGTACACCAAGCACTTCTTAATTTTAGCAACAGGGTTAGACGCTTAATAGTAAGTAGATACGATTTGAAATATTAAAGTCACAAATATATGTATTCTTAATGTCAAAACGACAAAGTGGAAAATTTTCTAGAAGCTGGAATAATTACTACTGCTTACTTTCCTACTTAATTAAAGTTTAGGATAGAAATACGTAAATCACACAAGGCTACCAAATCTTTTTTTTGGTACAGTAATAATTTGCGAAATGGAAAAAAACTCATCTTGTGATAAAATCTCTTCCAAAAACTTCTGATAGCAAGTTCAAACAATTAAAGGAATCGGTGAGAACAAAAGCATGGTCTAGGATTAACCCAATTTAGTTACCAACGTCCTCAAACCAGAGACTAAACCCGCTTTCTCTGATGAGTACTTCCGGGAGATGATTAAGAACTAGTTGGTACCATTTAACTGGAATAATTTTTTTCCCCCGAATTTCAACATTCCCTTTCTCCAAACATCGCCAGCATATTAAAAATCACAAATACCAACAACAAAAATAGGGTAGCAAATGCTTCGCCACACGCACCCCACCCCCCGATCCCGTTATTTCACTGCAATATTTTTTAAACTAAAAATAAATCGATAAATCTCTGGGCTGAGAGGGTGTGCACCCCAAAGAACGTGGCTTCAAATCCATGCGGGGGCCGCGGCGGGGACGGGACGCACGGAAAGGAAGCAGGAGGCAGGGCCCCGACCCGCGGAGGGGGAGGGGAACCCAGAGCCCCGCCACGCGGCCCGCGCTCCCCGCGGCAGCCTGAGGAGACCAGGGCGCTGCCTGCGCTCCCATGTGGCGGTTGAGTCGGCTCAGCGGCCTAGTCCAGGCCCGAAAGCGAGCGCGGGACCCGCCATCTTCGCCCTTTCCCTCCCGAGGCCCAACGAGCCGCACGGGTCCTCCCAGCGCCTGCGGCCTCCTCCCCGCGTAGGCCGCAGTACCTCTCCCGAACATACCTGGTGTCGTCGGCCACATTCCTTACGAACAGAGATGTATTGGGGGGGCGCAGGTAGCGAGACATGACGGCGGCGTGAGTCTCTGCAGAAGCACTAACGGCTCACCAAACCGTCCACAGCTCCGGCGGCGGGTCCTCAGGCACACACTGCCAGAGAGCTCCGCTACAGCAACCACCTCTTCTCGCGAGACTTCACTCCCGCTTCCACCGCTCCCCGCCCCCACTACCTGGGCGCCACGCCGGGACTGCCAACGGTTCCTTCCCGCGAGATCCCCCCCCCCGTGGGCCTGCGCATGCGGGCGGCGGTACGTGGGGCAGCCTCAGAAGCCTTTCATTGGCTTTTCGTGCTGCCGCTTCCCCTCCCCCCGAGCCCGCTTTTTTTTTATTTTGTGCTTTATTTTCCCGCCCTTAACGGCCGTTCTCTGTTTTTCCCTCTTCTCTCTCGAGTCCGGAAGCAGGTGGTTTAACCCCTACACCAAACCTTAGAGTTTTTACTAACTGGACGTAGTTTTAAACATTGTAATTCGGAGCGACCGCCTATGATTTCTTGTCTGGTCCAAGTTATGCTCTGGCTGTTATTAGATCACCGACCAGCAAGAGAAGAATTCACAGCCTCTTGCACTGACTGAAAGGGAGGGTGGTGTGAGTCCTTGTAATGAGACTGTAACAGGAAAACCGAATTAAATCCCTTGGTGTAAAATTCAACACTAACACTAGCTGGAAAATGATCTCAAGTAGCCCTCAAAACTCTATAACCATTAACAGGTGGCAGGGTTTTTTTGTTCTTACTTTCTGAGTCTCATGGTCAGAGATAATGCAGAAAGCTTATTTTGCAGAACCCAAGACACCCTCTGCCGGGGAACGGAGGAGGAGCTGATAAGAAAAACAAAAAGCAATTGAATTGGTGCAAGAAATGTCTGCTTGGATCCCATGCAAGTGCTACTTTATGTGTCTGGTGGTGAACAGCACAGCCTCTCCCACGAATTCCCAGCTAAAAATCCCTAACTACTTGTGCTTCAGAAGGACAATAGTTCTTTAAAGCACAAGACTCCCACCCCCTCATTTGCTGGCACATTAATAAACTATTCCTTCCCTTTCCTCAAAATCTTGTCATTGTGTTTTGTTATTAGACTTTGGTGACAAGGACGGGTTTTCAATAACAAGATGGGCCTGCCTCCAGTGCTTTCTGCACGTCCCGGGCGCAGTCCCGGAGCACCTTTACCAGAGCTGATCCTCACCTACATCCTCTTAGGTCATTTCCTCCACCTGTCCACGATGTTCCCTCCTGAATTAGAAGTGGTTCTCAACTTTCATTTGGGACGGAAACCTAACATCTTAGTCACCATTGTCATTTACCTTGTATTCTTTGTTGCTAAAGGCTTCCTGGGAATGTATCATCCCTGTATTGTGGTGGTCTTCCAACTTTATGGTCTCAGAACCTCTTTACACTCTTACATATTATAGAAGACTCCAAAGAGCTTTGTTTATGGGTTGTAGCTATTAATATTTACTGAACTAGAACTTAATAATGGAGAAAACATTAAGACACAGTAATTCACAAGCATGCATTCTACTGCCCTTCATCACTTATCAAGTAGCCTCTACCTACACTCTATATTTGTATGAAAAAAGCAAATAATATTTATTGTACTTTTGACCTTAGAGACCCCCATGACAGAGTCCTAGGGGTCGCACTCCAAAGAGTCATTTTCTGCTTTATCAGTTTCAACTTTTGGAGATGAGGGATCACCTACTGCAATGCCCCTGGCCTGCAGCATGGCAATGCCAAGCAGAGAGCAGGGACCCAAGCAGCTGTAATTAAATGAACTTTTCCTTAATAAAGGCCATAAAAGCATTATTTTTGCATCAATTAGCATCCAAAAAAATTAAGTGATTTGAAATGGGTGTGGTAGTCTGTTGTACTCTGCAGAGTTACTGTTTTTCTACATTTATGTTTTCCAAAAAGCTTTGGACACATTGTTAAAACATTTGTTGGTTACCCATCAAGAGTCAGACATTGTAATAGATGCTGGAAATTCAGTGATGATAAACATGGAGCTTTTGTTTCCACAGAAAATAAGCAACTAAGTAACTCAAGTAATTGCAGGTTTATGATGAGACAGTAATAAGACAGGTTTTGTTTTGTTTTGTTTTTTAATTTTTGAAACAGAGGATTGTGTAGGAAGGTCTTGCTGAGCAAGTGTGTCCCCACTTCCTCTTCCCAAGTTAAACACTTTTTAGAGGCTAGAAAACAGACTTCTGTAAATTAACTTAAGTAATGAAGGAAATTTATAATTTGGTGGCACTCTAGCCACTCAAGTTTAATAACAGGTAAAGGTTTAGAACTGAGTCTAATGTGCAGGAAGTGGCCTATAAATATTAACAGGACTGGCTACATAACTTTTGGGGTCCAGTACAATATAAAAATGTTAAAAAATCATTAAGGTGACAAGAGTGGAGCACTAAGCCAAGTGCAGGGTTATTTGGAGCATGGTGCCCCATGCAGCTGTACAGGTAGCATTTCCACGAAGACTTCCCTGAACATTAACAATTATTATTATTCATAATGAGGTGAGAAACAACAAGAGGAGTGAGGTACTAATATTTAGTAACTGGAATTGCTTTCTGCCTGACATACCAAGTGCCTCTGTAGCTGGGCACTGTCTAGGGAGGTCTCTCCTAGCACAATAGATGAAACCTCACCTGGGATGGGGGAGGGTTCTCCACTCTGGGAAAGAATTCACGAACAGGTTCGACAAGTGTAGGGGGAAGTAATTCATTAAATTTAGAATAGTAGTGAGTGTCAGTAGCCATGCTAGCAGCAGAGAGCAAGGAAGAACTGAGGAAGGAAAGTTCATTGAACTCCTGCTCGGCATAGGGCAGATTCCTTGCCAACTTCTGAAGCCATGGTCCCCTGGCATCCAGCGTGCGCTTGAATCTGCACGGTGTGGGAACTAAGCCCCTACCGCCCCAGGATTTGGGGGAGCCATGGAATCCTGGATGGAGTGAGATTATGTTCTGAGAACTTCCCAAAAGCAAGAAAAGGAGATTTTTCTGGCAGGCTACTAGAGCATGATCGTACAGCTGCAGGCCAGTCTGGGTCACCCAGATGATAGGAACTGGCAAGCCCAAATCAGAGACCTCAGTAGACCTTCCCCACTTGTCTGAAGTAGAACAGAGAAAGAGAAGACTTGGGCTTAAGACTAGAAAATTTTATAAAATAGTGAAGTAACAAAGACACCATTGGGAAAAGGGTCTCTTTTTAACCTCCTGACAGGCTTGGAAGAGTGTGGAGACAAAGTGCAATAAGGTGAGCAGCAAGGTTTTTTTTTAAAGCAAAGTACACCCTCAAAGAAAGGGGTATGTGGGAAGCCTCACAGAGGAAGTACACTTGAAGGCTTAGGAATTGTGTCTTTTAAGGATTTCAGGAATGGGGTAAAGGGCCAAGGGAGCATACAACACTGAGACTGTGTTCTCTTTTAAACATTACTCACCTGTGGGTTGGAAACTTTGGTGCACACACATATATACACATCAATTTACCTATGTATAGGATCTTCTTTTAACCTCCGGCTCTCACTAGTTCTGCTTTGTGGGTGAATTCACTGCTAACATATACATTTGTTCATTATATTCCTTAGATGATCTATTCTAGCACATAGATTGCTGGCTGGAATTTACTTCAGGTAGCCATTTGTTGTATCTTAGCTTCATTTTAATGTCTTAAGATAACATTTTCCCTAGTTATAAATGTCCTGCGTTTGTTAAAATTTTGCAAATAAAACACAAGCTGAAAAGCTTCTGTACAGCAAAGGACACCATCAATAGAACAAAAAGACATCCTACAGTATGGGAGAATATATTCAAAAATGACAGATCCGATAAAGGGTTGACATCCAAAATATATAAAGAGCTCACACACCTCAACAAACAAAAAGCAAATAATCCAATTAAAAAATGGGCAGAGGAGCTGAATAGACAGTTCTCTAACGAAGAAATTCAGATGGCCAATAGACACATGAAAAGATGCTCCACATTGCTTTTCATCAGAGAAATGCAAATAAAAACCACAATGAGATATCATCTCACACCAGTAAGGATGGCT